ATCTGAAGCAAGAAATGATATAAAATGGTCAGCAATTGGAAAATATCACAAAATCGAATTTATTTAAGAGCACAAAACATAAGAAAGTACAGATTGATATATTTGCAGATACCACAGTTAAGCTAAACTAGAATATTTGAGGACAAATTGGGAAGTATCAAACAAGAACGTTGCATTGTTCCTGTTTTCAGTATCCAGACAGAGAAAACAACTAAATACATGTTCCTTTTACATGATTAGAAAGCTTAAAACCCAAGGAAGAAGCTTTCCCCATATCAGTTAGAAACATATTAACGAATGGGAATAGATTATAGGCATGACACCAATAATTTTATACCATGACCTATGACCGAGCGCTACTAAGTAACCTCTATTGGATTTATCGATGCGTATGGTTAAGGTATCTCCTTTGGTGGGCTGAAGTCCGAGAATCGCATCCACCTTGAATGATAACTGCCAATATATCCATTGTAAAGAATCTTTTGAGGGGAAAAATGGCATTATTTTCTTTACAGTTCCATTATCAAAAGCATAGTTGAACAGTGTACAGTAATCGATATCATCGGCATATGAAGCTCAAGAACAGCAAGTGTCCGTCCCAAAGTCCACGCATTCATTTTATCATCCACCATCACGATGGCAATAATATGAGCAAAGTTAGCAAAAGGGCGTAATCTGTATCTGAAACTCACCATCCTGTGACATGAGAGGATAATCAGACGCGCTTAGATTAATAAACCAATCCCACCCTTTTAAGCTTCAGAAGCATTGCAATTCCATGGAGGGTAGAAGCAATCATCGTCGGACCCTTGTAAGTAACCAAGTCTGCCTTACCTACCACCATCACATTCCTAAACTCGCTAAAAAACAACTTCAGATTTCACATACTTGGCAAGCTCGAGTCTTTCAGCATCCAAAGCTTCGAGATCAAGATGCAGCATATAGTAGTTCCTGGGGTGATACGCTGCTTGAAGAATCCTCTTGAGCTGTGGTCCATCTCCTTTGGTACCTGTTATCAAGTACGCAAATCTGGGCAAAACCGGAAGCCCCAATGCGTCGTTTGGATCGAAACGGGTGAAATTGGGTCCGTCGTAGGAAGATCCAGAACCCGAAGAAGATTTGCTAAGCGCGCGAAAGGTGACCAGGAGGATGAAAAAAAGAAAAAACCTGTAATGGTGGGCATGAGCCATTTCCGATCTGAATGATAAGGGGGAATGTGGTTTCGTTTCATCATCGCTTGGGATCGAGGATGAGAATTTAGGACATAAGAGAGCATATAGGTTCGTGAGATGTGTTTCTAAAAGTGTGAGTTGGCAAAGGCATGAAGATTTGATTGAGATCAGAAGTTCGGTAGCGCATTTTTGGTGTGAGGTTTGTTCTTACGCTTGAAAGAATGGAGAGGACGATGGTGAGTACTAACCGAAGCTCCTGCAGCTTTAGTTTGAAAGCCGCATCGCCATCAAGTAGGAAAATGGAAGTTGGGTACTTTATCCCTTTAGCGAGCGTGTGGCCTCTGAAGTCTAAACTAACCAGTAACCACTCCTTTTCGAGCAGTTATTATAATGGATCAAAAAGATATAGTTTTATAATAGTGTTTTTACGGTTACAAAATAAACATGTGAAGAATTTATATCGATTCACAAAAAAATGTTTCTGAAAAGTGATTATTGGATATCCAACACCCCCTATAAGAATATTTAAATGCAAAAGCTAGGTACATTAACATCTTTGCTTCTCAATATTGGAGAGTGAAATTATTTATGAAATATGTATTCTTTGACAGACTAAACTAAAATGAAATTTTTCAAATTTGAACGGAACATAACAAGACCAGCTGCACTCTTGGCAGCTAAAATCTCACATTAAAGGAAACCAGTAACAAGAAGTCATCATTTTTCTGCATACCACAATGAAACAGATGATAGAGGCATCAAAAGAGGATGCATAAATTTCTTCAAGTATTCTTCTTTTTCTATTTTACACAAACATGAATAAAGGGGGAAAAAAGGAAAAAGGCTTAAAAAAGTAAAATTCTGGTAAACAGGATAGATTCTCAACTCTGAGAATGTGCAGTTATGATAGAGAATTAGAGCGTTTAATTGGGGGAAAATGGGAAGCAGAATAGATGGAATGGCTGAATCTGAAAGAAGCTGCAGCTCTTCTCTCAGCTTCAAGGTAGTGACGAAGAGAAGGACAATCCTTCACATTCACTGCATCAGTGGTTTGCTTTGAACACAAGGAGGGCAGCCATGGCTTCATCTTGGGACTCTTCTTATTGTTGTCCTTCGAGGGTTTCATCGCTATTCTTGTTCTTGCCCTTGTAGATCTCTGTGAGAGTTCCAAGGGGCAAAAATCACCAACTAGCCTTCCAAGTGTGGTGGTCTTTTCATTGTACAACGATCCTGGGGACTATAACACACAAGACACATATATGAGGCATGGCTCAAAATAACTTCCTGCAAAATCTCAAGCCTCAAGCATTGTTGAACAAGTGATGGACGGTTTTACTTCTTCAAGGAAATAGTATTTGATTGTTTTAATAAAAGGCTCTCTCTCTCCCTCCCTCCCTCCCTCAGTCCCTCTCTCTCAATGGTCACAAAAGTGTCATCGCTGTTTCTCATTCCTCAATCATTGTAGTTATGTTTGAACCCTTGCATTATTTTTTTTTTCAATTTTGTTTTGCTTTTGTTTTGTTTATCCACTTTAACAGAAAAATAATGATGTGAATAATCTCATTATCAAAACAATTATTTATATCAAAGTAAAATAAATAATGACAGTAATTGATAAATGATATGAACAATATATTAGTATGATCAAATTGATAGATACAAACACCAAGAAAATTAAAAGAGAGACATTCGGGAAACTACCGAGAAAATCCAGCCATAATAATAAAGAGAAGCAAAAACAGAGTAACTACTATGAATTGGTTCCACTTAATTAGAAGCTCAGGTTATCTTGAAAGAAGACCAACCTGCGATTCAAGATCTGGAGAAGAATGAGTGAAAGAAGTGGGAGAAGCAGTTAGTATTGATCCGGAGAAATCACTGCCAGTTTCCACTAACCCAATCCTCCCATTCAGTAATCCCAAGGGCCATCCTTCCTGCATCATCATTGTTTGGAATTCAAAAATGACCATCTTAAAATGAATTGACTAGACAAAAAGTATATTAACAAATTCAAATTTTAGTACTCTAAGTTTTTGAACCAAATTATATGTTCCAAAGTCGGTAAATACGATTGATCTCTGAGAAAAACGAAGTTTTTACCGTTTCAACTTTCAAGCACTTTAAATTCTGACCATCACCCACCCCAAGACCTCAACCCCAAATTGGGTAAAACGAAGAGGAAAACATCCTCAAACTTCGTTCCCCCATATTTCAGAAACACTCCAAATGATTCAAAGTAAAGAGCCTAAAAAATGCATAATGAAGAAGATGATGTACCTGCAGAGCCATGATTAGTGCGTTGGCTGAAGGATTTGCTAAGGCGAGATTTAAATGAAATAGAGGGATGAGTGAAGGAAAGAGGGTTCAAGAAAAGAAATTAGTGTCATTTTCACATCCTACACTCTCAGAGACATAACACCAAACAGGTCGAATTCAAAAATAACTAAAAGGGGTCCATATTCAACAGCAATAGTGTAAATTTTGGGATACTTAAAACGGCATAAGAAATAGACACAGGAGGTTTCTGGCTCCAAATTAAAACAATTCAACAGCGTTTCCTCTGGAAAGTGAAAACCACGGAAAAGTCAGAGAGAGAGAGAGGAAGATGAGAAAATGACTTTCTACCAAGACCCAGGTTTGTGGGGAACAGAAGTTGGTTGAAGTAGCGCAGGTTAGAGCAATTCCGGTAGACATATTAACGCCCCTGTCCCCAAATAAATGTTAGTTCTTAAATTTATTTCATTAAATGCGTTTATATATGTTCTGATTATTGTATAAATTAACTTGCACCCTATTTCGGCCAACAAAAACTCACACTTTACTTATTTGGGGGACAATTAATTCACATCATTATCTTATACATATTAATCCTATTAGTAAACCTGAATTGTTAAATATATTGGATTTGATCAGAATTATTATTGAACAAATTTTGGTTGTACTTTCATTTCAAGAAAATTTTTGTATGAATTGAAAAGTAAATCATGTAACTGGAATATCTCTCTAGAAATAGGAAAGAATATCGACATTATAATAAAACAGAATCTGTAACGGGAAACAAGAAGAAAAGGACAGCATCGTAGAAGTATTATAGATTTGCTATTTTCATGTATGCGATCCCACTGTGGAGTATTATAGCTTTACACACAATTTTGTGTTTAGCTCATTTTGTCGTCAACCCTGACAAAACTTCAGGGCAAAGGAAAAAAATGAGAAAGCCCATGGTCTGGGAAAAAAGCCGTTACAATCAACAGTCATCTGTAAACTGTATCTGTAATATTACAACATCAGTAACCAACTTAGCTTGCACCATCACCAGATCGGTATTCTCCAATTCCTAGTAAGTCCTGGAAAAGTATAGTCAGACCAGAAATTAGTAAAATAATACAGCATTTGAATTTGGTCTGGGAAAACATTGAATTCTTAAGGCAAGCATAATAAGTAATGCATACGATCAAACAGAGAGAGCAAGTGAATTTAAAAAAAAGAAGACAAAAGACAAAAAATTCATATTAACAAGCAGCATAAAATGGGGAATGAGCATTTGTGGCTAAAAAAACAAAATTTTTAAGTAACAGGAACCTGAATATGAAGCAACATGTTTTTGGCTGAAAGATCATCGATGCATTTAATAGAAAAACCAAGTCTTATTAAATGATACGAGGTTAGCATATATTGGCTGGCCACATGACCATGTAGCCACATGAAGTACAAGTAAATTTGAGATGATTATATGAACTATTAAGTCACTTGAAGTATATAGGTGGAGGAAAAGCAACAAGAGCTATATAGTAACGAATAACTTCAAGTATAAATGGGGAAACTTAGGACATTGATAAAAGATGACTTACTTGACACGCTTTGTTTTTGGCTCTAGTCTCTGCCGTGCTTGGTACGTCATGATTCGGTTTCTGAAATCGCTTCTCACGCCGCTCACAAGAGCCCCAACCATCAGAGAACCTACCCCCTCTGATAGTGATGGGGTTAACCATAAAATGGCAACGTGATTGTGGTGAAAACGAAAAGCAATTAGAGAAGTAACATGAATTGCAACTACCGAATAGGGAAACATACTGCATGTATGCCCGAGCCACAAACTCAGCGCGTTGAACATTACGGTTCTCATCAAATTCAATATTCTTGTCTCTAATTTCAAAAGAAATATTGAAGAAGCAAGATATCTTCCTCCAACCTGTAGGAAGCACTTGCAGCATATTACATCTGATCTGATCTACTAAGTTCAACGAACAAAGAAGAAACTTCGTTTACCTGACTTTTTTATGAAAGGCTTCCCCGAAATTAATGTGTAATCCGTCTTCTCCAAAATCTGTCCATTGAAGACACAAGAAATCGACAATATATTGGTCGGAAAAATTGCAGCTAAGAGTCGGGCCCCCTCTCCCCAAAAGGACCAAAAAAATCGCAGCTAATAGAACAAAATTACCGCCACTAAACTCCTGTGTTAGATACTTGCAAATAACAAGAAATCAACAATGGTTACTTGCATGACTTCTTGTGGCGAGACATGTGTAATATCATATGCAGGAAGATGGACGGACATAAATTTTATTGCTTAGCCCCCATTGGAAAGCAGCTGCTCATGTACCTTTGGGTTACAAGTATCACCAAAATCAAAGTCCTCGAACATATCTACTCAAGCAAGCTTATTATGGTTGTCAAGAAAATGTGGTTTCAATCAGTAAGGACATTTAAACAAAAACGCTGCTTAGATGTGCAATTATTTGTTCAGCATCAAAGTTAGGAGGGAAAAAATTGCATCTCCAAGCTGTCTAATTGATCGGAGTTGGATAAGCCTCACAAGAGAATGCGTTGAAAAGATGGAAATGATAGTAAGAATTATGATTTTATATGAGCATTATACTAACAGTACAATAGATAAGATAGAGTAATCCTAGATACAGACCTCTCAATGTTTCTTTGTGTCAATTATATGATTCACTTATCTCTTCCGTTCTATAACAATGAAGCATCCTTCTCATTTTCAAATTTTGCATTCATCGCTGACTAAACCATTAAGCAGGATATTGGAAGGAAGAAGAATTGACATCACATCGGTAGAAGTCCAAAAGCTTCCAGCAAATTAAACATATTAACTAGTATATCGGATAGTTACCGCCATAGCTGTATTTTGGTATTCCTTGAACAATGAAACTGAAGGGAACTTGCCAGAGAAGCCATGCGTCGTGATCTCCTTCTCTTCGCTCCTGCCACTATGCCCCGGAGAGACCTCTGTATAAGGACTAATCTCTTGCACTCGAAGCCTCCCTATCTCAGGCGACAGATGGGCCTCCGGTGAGGAATAAAAAGCTGCTACCGGTGGAGTTCGCTGCCCATTTTTCACCGGAACCAGAGGACTACTCTCGCTTGTCTCCGAAGAACAAATCCTTGCAACCTTCCTAGGAGGCCGGAATGACCAAGGTTCATGGTCTACTTCGCCGTCGCCTGTAGCCTTGGATTCGATTGAAGCCGAAGGGGAGTCCCTCGCGATTCTCTGGACCTTGGTCGGGGGCAAGGGTTTTGAGATCGGAGATGGAGATGTGCTATTATTGTATTTGATGGCAAGGGATTTGTACTTGGTTGCGGAACGGGAGGCGGTGGCGGAATCGATGACAGCCCACAAAGCGGCGTCGTCGAGGTCCTTGTCGTCGATTTGGGAGTACGCTATTGGGGAGGCCATTTTCTGAAGTCGGGGCGAATTAAGAGCAGAGTTTTCGATTGAGCAGCTCAGAGATAGGGGAGGACGGAAAGTGTTGGGATTTCGTAGTGTGACTCAGACGGGCGAATGAATTGACCAAAGAAGATAAGGCTTCTTCACGACTGTGAGAATGTGAATCCCATCTTGCCACTCTGATCCGGAGATCGGAAGATGCGCGGGTTTTTTTAATTTGAATCGGCTTCGTCTGGAAAAGATCTAAACGGCGCCGTCGGAAGCAGAACCATAATTTTTTTTTTCCCGGCCCGGCATAATTGTTTGGTTGCTTACTCTCCATTTTCGTGTTTTGACTTTTGATCACAACTAGAGTCTTTGACTTTCTTCTAATTTCCTCTCATGTCTTTTAGATTTAAATTTAATTTTTTTTTGTATTTTAAACTTTCTTCTTTTGAGTTTTAGCAGAGCATATCATTAATGCATGTACTACTTTGCATCCAAAATTAAACGCTTTTACCACTTTTTAATTGTTATATTGTTATTTTTTGTTTATATAAATAATTAAGATAAAATGGATGACACATTTATATACATATACTCCTTTGGTCATTAATATAAGACCTATTTAGATGAAGAAAAGTATGTAAATTAGTTAATTATAAAAAATATGATATGTTTTTCTTGAAATACCATAATCATCTTTCTTAATATCCTTCCTTCTTCTTTTACTTAATTATGGTTGAAGGAATATCTATAAGAATAATTTAGAAAAAATTAATCAATATGAAAAATAAGTCCTATATTTATGACCATAATCAACTCAGCAATTCAATCTTATGTATTAAGGATTGCCAGTTTAACCATGAAACCTATGATCTGGAGATATTTATGGTGTAATTTCCAATTTCACTTTTAAAACATGAGTTCAATATTTAAAAATCAAATATAAAATGTAAACTAGCAAATTAATAAAAAAAGGTTATAATTATTAAATAAATAAGGAAAAAAATACAAATATGAAGAAAGCCCCATTAAATGCATTATTATATTTGCATCCTTTTTTTAAGGGTAACACTCACTAATTTTTTTTTACCCGCCAACAACACTCACTAAATTTTTAACCATTAAAGTGAGAATCCGTCCCAAAGATCACCCTAGGAAAAATAAGCAAGTTGACTGATAATTTTCCAAATAAGAACGGGCCAAGAAAATGATTGGCAGAAGAAAAAGAAAACCGTTGACAGTTTCTTTACCTCCAAAATTCAGAAGCTAAACGATCCTCTTCTCCTTCCCTCGTTTCCTCTCTTCCACTTCTTTCTCAGTCCCAATACATCTTTCGAACATCAATCGAATTAAAAAAAAAAAAGAAGAAAGAAAGAAAGAAAACAAATTATAATATCCAATACCTTTGTCTCTATGTTGTTTCTTTCTTCCTCACTTTTCCTCCTGTGATCTTTTCACCAAATTCCACGTTTCGCTGCATCGTCATGTTTATGTGAGATTCATCCGTCTTCTATCTGCCTGCAACAGAATTAAAATCTCCAAAATGGAGCGCAAGAAAACAATGACGATGAATTGGAAAGGTGTTGACGACGACAATGACGACGAGCACTTCTTCGAGAGCTTGGACGGAGCTTCGTCATCGGACGAGGACGAGGAATTCCAAGAAAGCCGCATGTCATTCTCGTCAAATTCTCAAAGATTCAGAATCATGACAAGAAAAGCGTCGACGGTACCAATGGCAGTGGCGATCCCTGACTTCGACTACAACATATGGATGGCGGCACCAGGATCGATCACTGAACGGAGGAGGCGATTGCTTTACGGAATGGGCCTAGACGAGAACAAGGAGAGTTTGCGGCTGGCCAGCATAGCAATCGGCCGTGCAATGACGAGGAAGTTCGAGAATAATGCTTCGCCCCGGCCTGATTCGTCCGGTAAGCCCGAAGAGGCGACGGTTCCTGATTCCCGTGATGCGCCTGTTGTTATAGCACCTAAAGCCGATGCTGCTGATACTACTGCTGCAGCTGCTGAATCAAGCGATGAGAAGAAAACAGAGCATAAAACAGTGTTTTTGCCGCCATCGGATGAGCATAAAACAGAGCAATCCCCTGTGCCATTCGTTCTCGTCAGGTCGCGTTCCGACGGAGACGTAGATTGCGATACTTATTCCTTGCCCAAGATGAGGAAAGAGGAACTCATAGGTATGGTTACTAAAAAGATGCTTGATTAGTGTTGGTTCCTTGATTAGTTTTTCCTGAGAAGAATGTGCCCCAAGATATCATCCAAAAATAATAATTTTGCACCCTTCACTTGGAAATACTTGAATGACTTGTAAATTAGATAGATACTCATCTTTTCTTTTCATGAAATTACCATTCAAACTGCCATCCTCAGTGAGCTTATTAAGTAGACTGCCACTCTTTATTGCTCATTGCAGGTAAGGTCTCAAAGCAGCGTCTGACAAGAACGTCGTCAGAGATCACTCTGGCTCGTCCTCGTATGTGCCCCTACACATACTGGAGCCCCGCCCCTGCTGCGGCGAAAGACGACGCCAGTTCAGGGGCTTCAGGGGATCAACAATCAAAACGCCAGCACGGCCGTAAACTAACCGCGATCGTGTCAAACACCAGGTTTGCTTCTTTCTTCCTCATCAAGAACCTCGACACCGGGAAAGAGTTTATCGTCACTGGGAAGGACCCCGGCGGTGATGGCAATTGGAGCAGTCTAAACGACATACAAACAGGGAAAAAACTAACGATGGAAGAGTTCGAGAAATCCGTAGGACACTCTCCAATCGTCAAAGAGCTCATGCGACGCGGGCGAGACAAAAACGATGAGAGTAAGCCAGGTGCGAACTACTACCTGAACAAGAGCTTGAGAATGAGTAAGAAAACTGGGGCTGCTCTGTTGAAGAACCTAAAGGGTGTGGCAAGTGGGTTCATTGGAGAAACGAGAGAGGTCAGAGAGCATCAAAGAATCAGCGCCTCCTAATTTGCCTCCTCTGCCTCCATCTGCGGCACAACCAGCCAACACAGATCCTAATCAGAAACAGACTAAGAACAACGAATGGATTAGGGTTAGGCAGAGCGGGAAAACTCACAAAGAGCTCTCAGCGTTACATATGTGTCAAGAATTTCAGGCTCACGAAGGGGGCATTTGGACCATAAAGTTCAGCTGGGACGGCCATTATCTGGCGAGTGGAGGGGAGGATAAGGTGATTCATGTGTGGGAAGTGCAGGAGTGCGAGCTCATGTCGTTGACCCCAGGGGAAGGCAATCTTACCCCACTTCATCCGGCGCTGCTTGCTTCGTCGGCCACCAATGAGGGCGCGGCGGAGGAGAAGAAGGGCAAATCTGGGAATAAAAAGGATGATAAGGTCCCGGAGCACGTTCATGTGCCCGAGACTGTGTTCTCCCTCTCGGACAAGCCCTTCTGCACTTTCCAAGGTCATTCCGAAGACGTTTTGGACTTGTCTTGGTCCAAATGTCAGGTCAGCCCACTTAATTTTCATTATGGAAATTCCTGCATGTTTAAACCAAGGGCCAAAATCTACATGAGCTGAAATTGGATGGATAACAAAATTATTTATCTCATAATGAAACGCCTAATGAGCTAAAGTGCTAAACTACCATATCTGAATGAGGCGCTTACTCTCTTTGTAATAATTGCAGTTACTTCTCTCGTCTTCAATGGATAAAACAGTGAGACTATGGGACTTGGAATTAAAGACGTGCTTGAAGGTGTTCACCCACAATGACTATGGTGAGGTTGCCATATTTTTGGTGTGAAAAAAAAAACTACATAGTGATGGTATTTGTAATGGCCTGATGTGCTGCTATATACATATGTTTTTGGTGCTGCACAGTAACGTGCGTACAGTTCAATCCAATAGAGGAGGATTATTTCATAAGTGGGTCCCTTGATGCTAAGATCAGAATATGGAGCATTCCTCGACGACAAGTCGTGGATTGGGCCGACGTCCATGAAATGGTCACCGCCGTTTCTTACACTCCTGATGGTCAGGTGAGCCTTCTCTACCCAACTCTTGTTCTGTTCTCCAGTATACGCAATATGATTGTGCAAGCTATCAACGTTGTAGGCTGCTCTTGTTGGTACACATAATGGCACTTGTTGTATGTACGGCACAGAAGGTACTAGCCAGCTACTTCCTCTCTATATACATTCATCACCATCCTGCAAAACCTGGAAGTCATGAATTCCTAAAATGTTGCAGATTGCAAATTAAGTCAAACAAGCACGATTGACTTACAACAGAGAAAGAAAGCTCCGCTGAGAAAAATCACCGGCTTTCAGGTAATTATAATATAGTAGCTGGCTATATAGCTTTAGTTTTGCTCCCATTATTGGAAGCAGTTTGATAGTATGGCAGGAACATGCAAATTAGTTACGGGCCTTGTATATGTTTTTCAGTTTGCACCAAGCAATCCATCAGAAGTGCTTGTCACTTCCGCTGATTCCAGGATTAAGATTGTAGAAGGCACAAAAGTTGTTCATAAGTTCCAAGGTGCCATCACAACCCTGAACCACGTTGGAATATACGTGCATGTATATCATGAGTCTTTCTTTGGATAGAATAATGTTAACATATATAGGTATTACATGAACAGGTTTCCGAAATTCAAACAGTCAAATCGCAGCTTCATTCAGTCCAAATGGAAGACATGTTATAAGTGCAAGCGAAGATTCTCAAGTTTATGTGTGGAAGTATGATGAACCTCGACAAGGAGGCAACAATGCAAAAGCGAGAGCATTAGTTATGACTCGAGCTTTTGAGAGCTTCCCTTGTAAGGATGTTTCTGTGGCAGTGCCATGGCCTTTCACCATCAAGGGCGATCCCCCTCAAGCCAAGAAGACAGGTAAGACTGGTAATCTGCCCCCTCTTCCCAACAAGAAGGAATCAGATCCTTCCACCACAGATTCACCGCCCACGTTGCCGCCCCTTCCTCCTAAGAAAAATGCCACCGACGCTGAAACCACCTCCAAAACTACTGATAATAACGAGGAAAATACTAGCTCCGCCGCTGACAGTGGTTCCAATGACCAGCAAGAAGTGGATCCCGCAGCCATATCTCGAACAGAGTCTTTGGCGTCAGATTCAACAACCAGCTCGACCAGGCATGATGATCCATCTGCTATCTCTGCGACCAATGCATCGTCCTCTTCCCGG